CAATTGGAACAATCACTGATTGTGTAAGGTCAAGGAAGATAATTGTATGAAGGGTTAGCCTTCTGGCCTTCTTCATAAGTGTCTGCATTAGACAAATTCCTGTTTTCTTGCTGGCCCTGAGGAGGGAGGTGTACAGGAAATGGGGAAGAATGTTGTTCTCATAGCAGGAAGAATGATGCTGTGACTACACTTTCATTGTCTTTCCTGGTTTTAACTTTCTTCTTCCTGATTAGCTGTTAACTGTCAACTTGACACACCAACCTGGAGTCATCTAAGCAGAGGACTTCAAATGAGGAATTGCTTTGACCAGATTGTAGGCTTCTCTGTAGGGGATTGTCTTAATTGTTAATTGATGTAGGAGGGTCCAACCTACTATGGGTGATACCATCCCTAGGCAGGTGGTCATGAAATGTACAGGTCAAATAGCAAGCAGTATCCTCCATGGTTCCTGCTGTACTTCATTAGTTGTGATGCAAGTTTCTTGGTAAAAAAGTAGTGCTGTGTGGACCAGCAATCAGGTCTATCTTGAGTTCCTGCTTTTTTTCTCTCAGGACTGTCTCCCAGGACTATGACCTGGGACTATGTCTTAGTTTCTATTGCTGTGAAAAGACATCATGACCAAGACAACTCTTATAAAGGAAAAGCATTTAATTTGGGGGTGGCACATACAATTTCAGAAGTTTAGTGCATTATCTTCATGACAGGACATGGCAGCATGGAGGCAGACATGGTGCTGGAAGAGGGGGCTAAGAGTTTTACATCTGGATCTGTAGGCAACAAGAAGCAACTGTGTGCCACACTGAGCATAGCTTGAGCACAGGAGACCTCAAAGTCCACTCCCACAGTGACATACTTCCTCCAACAAGGCCACACCTACTCCAACAAAGCCACACCTCCTAATTGTGCCACTCCCTTTGGGGGGCATTTTCTTTGGAACCACCACAGACTATGAAAAACGGCCTCTTCATTCCACAAAGCTGCTTTTAGTCAGGGGCTTTTATGATCATAGCAACAGAAATGAAGGTAGAACACTACCAGATGCAGTAGTCAGGACCAGGGCTATAGCTGCAAGTAAGAAGAGGATTTGCATCCTAAGAAATCAAGCCTTTATACCTTTATATCTAATTCCCTTAGCATCTGATGGGTGTGTGTCTTGGTCTGTTCTCTCCTGCTATAACAAAATACTGCAGAATGGATGAATTACAAAGAAATTACTTTCTAATGACTTTGGAGGTTGAGAAATGCACTATCACGGCGCTGGGATCTGGTAAGGTCCTTCTCTTTGCATCCTAACCGGGTGGAGGGCATAACACAGTAAGAAGACAAGTATAGGTGGAGCAAGGAGACATATGTCTGTGTTGAGAGAAAACCTTTTCTCTCAACTCCACTCTCTTATTAAGGCACCAGTGCATTTGTGAGAGTGGGGCCCTCATGACCTAAACACTTCTTAAAGGTCTTACCTCCTAGTACCTTCACTATAGCAATTAAATTTCAACATGAGATTTGAAGAGGACATTCAAGCCATGGCACTCTATAGGTTAACTAGTCCTGTGTTGTTTATTGATAGAAATAGCACTATAATTCTATACTTTAATGTAATCTTACACTGTGTGGCATGGACTGAGGGAGAAGTACTTGAAAGACCATTATCGTTGTTTATGATCTAGAATCAGCACAATGGTCGATGCCGTTTCCAAAGGTGGAGAAGCAGGATTGGTACCTAAGGATACAGGAATGAGTAATTAGATTAAATAGAGAATGCCAAGATTATATTAATGCTTCAAAGAAGGCTTAGAGGGGCACATGATAGTGTATTACTTCAGATATACCTGATGACTAAAGGGGTGATGCCCTGTGTTACTAAGACCTCTCCTGGTTTTGGAAGTTGACAAGGCCTAACTGATGCTTGTAAACCTAAGGGAATCTATCTGTGAGGTATGTTGGTCATTAAAATGATAAAGGCCCATTGTAAGGAGTAGGTTTTTCCTCCTGCTGATGGTCTTGTCCTGCTGCAGCACCAGCCCCAATTAACACACTGTCTCTGTATTTGATATAATGCTATTGGCCAGGTACTAGTTTCTTATCTGTCTTAAATATTAACCCATTTCTGCTAATCTATGTATTTCCATGTGCTTTCATCTTACCAGAGAGCCAGCTGGCGTCCTGCTCTCTCCAGACTCTCCATCTTGGCTCCTCCTTACTACTTCCTCTTTCCTCCTTGTCTCCTAGCCCCACCTATCTTGCTTTCCTATTGGCCAACAGCGCTTTATTCATAAACCAGTATGAGAAACATATTTACAGACTGACATCTCCCATCAGCCCTTACTAACAGAGATTAGTAATACACCAGTATCTTCTTTAGTTACATTTATCATATACAATTGGTGATTCACACTGGCCTGGTTGGTTAAGAGTCCAATATTAGTGTTGCCAACTGCACTGGGAAATTACAAATGTTTTTACTGTGCTCTGAAGGGTATGAATTTTTGTTGTTGTTGTTGTTGTTTACTTTAAAAGATACTGTGTCAAAGACCAGGGGATTGTCTATAATAAAGAATCTACCTGACCTTTGGAGGACTGAAGGAGAGTAACTGGCACAGAATTTCCAAAGTTCCAGAACTGTCCTATACAATACGGTATCTGTTATAATGAATGAGGTGATTTCTGGGAAGGAACCTAAACAGGGTATGGTTGCCAGAAGAGGTGGGGGCTAGAAATGAAGTTCAACTGCTGGCTAGTTTATAATGTCAACATGACAAAGGTTAAGAATTATTTGTAAAGAGGGGATCTCAATTGAGAAAATGCCTCCATAAGATTCACCTGTTGGCAAGCCTGTAGTGCATTTTCTTAACCAGCGATTGATATAGGAGGGCCCAGCCCATCAAAGATGGTACAACCTCTGGGGAGGAATTAGTTCTGAAGTACTATAAAAAAGCAGGCCAAGCAAGCCATGAGGAGCAAGCCAGTAAGCAACATCCTTTTATGGTCTCTGCATTAGCTCCTGTTGCCAAATTCCTGCCCTGTTTGAGTTCTTGACAAGACTTCCTTCAATGATGGACTGTGATGTGAAATGAAACTGAAATAAACCCTTTCCTTCCCAAATTGCTTTTGGTCATGGTGTTTTATCACAGGAAACTAACACAAAAGCCAGTGTTTTAATCAATTATGTGTATGTAATGAAACTTTGATTTTAAAAACAAAACAGAGAACCCCAAGACATCAAGACTTGGGGAATAAGCTTCCTGTTGAACACATTCATGAGTGAGGCAGATGGTCAGTCTCCTGAAATCCACAAGATCAGAACATGGAAATTCTGTTCTGATCTTCCTTTTCCCCAGGCCATGCCCCATGTGCCTCTTCTATGTGCCTGTTTACTTTTCCATTTACCATTCTAAGTAAAGACTTCCAGTGAGTTCTACAAAAAAAACTAGTGAATTATCAAACCTGAAGCAGACGGATTTATGGGAACCCCAGATGTACAGCCATGTCAGACACAAGGGCAGGTAGTCTTCGGAGTCTGGAACTCAAGATAATTCAGCTGTGGTCCATGACCTTTGTGTTGTCTATTGCTAGGTAGTCAGTGTCAAAACTGAATTAATTATAAAACACCACAGAATACAGACAGACTTCATTATTTTTTATTGTGATAAAATATACAAACATAAAACTTAACCTTTTAACCATTTTTTCTTTTTAAACATTACAATGAAATTTAACAATGAAGAAAACATGTATAACATATAAGTAAATTCCCCAGATTTCATGAAATGAACACACTCTTGTATCCAAATTCTGAACCAAGAATTGAACAGTCTAACATTTCATAAAAGAAAAGGAATATATTGGGAAGGTAACCTACATGAGAAATTACAATGGAAGGGAAAGAGGCAATGTGTCCTAAGGAGTATGTATGAGCTCTGTAATGCATCGATTCCAAGCAGAAGTTTAGGGACACTTTAGAGGGATATCTGTATCACTGTTAAAAAGCTTTGGTGGACAGTAATTTGGGATATACTAGATTAAGGCCAGCAAAACAGCTTTATCCACAGAGGAGGTGAGTTTTAAAAACTCAGACTGTAGGTTTTAACAGCCCAGGCACTCTCAAGTCAAGAGAGGAATAAAGAAAAGGGAACTTGCCCACCTCTTTTTCAATATGATAAAAATAAAATAAAATTTATCATTTTAACCCCTTTTAAGAGGACTATTGAGGTTCATTAACATCCACAATGCTATGCAACCATCACCATTATCCATTTCTAGAACTTACTCATCCCAAAGAGAAACTCTGCACACGCTACACAATAAAACCCCAATCTTCTAAGTTCTTGTCCCTCTTTTCTCTTTTCTGCCAGGAAGAACTTGCTTATTCTAGGTACTTCATGTAAACACTATCTCCCAGGACTGACTTCTGTGATCTGTTCACTTCACTTAGAGTAAGTTTACCAAGGCACATCTATGTTACAGCATGTGTCACAGTTCAATCCTTTCAGGAGAGAATAATTCCACTGCATGAGGATACCACATTGCTTTATGTAATGCCAGTGGATGGACATCTGAATTGTTCGCAGCTGTTGTTATTTGAATGACACCATCAACTTCGGTGCACAAGTGTCTGCACTGTAACATTTCCCCAAATCTGTTCTTATGTATTTTTATTTTTATAAACTATGAGAGATACTTTACAATGTACAAATCAAATAGAAACTAACAATAACATACATTGTATATAACCCCAGGCTTTATTATAAGCATCAATAACTATTCATACTAAAGAACCAGGAATAAAGAAATAAAAAAAAAAAAAAAAACTGGAATGTAACTAATGTAACTCGGGCATAGATAAGCATATACAAATACTTTGTTAATTATTAGACTAGAAAAATATAAATGATGGAATTATATCAATTATTTTGTGCTTAATCTTCCTGAATGTACTTTTAGTATTAAATACACAGAAAGTGCATACAATTATATTAAAGATAATGCCTTTTTTTTTTTTTTTTTGATGGTGCTGGGGATCAAACCCAGGGCCACATGCATGCTAGGCAAGTACTCTACCATTCAGAGACAACACTAGCCTTAAAATCATGCTTTTTTTTTTTTTTTTTAAAGCAAACAAAACATGCACATCTTTGGTTACTCTGAACTAGTTTAGAGGTCGGTGAGGCATTCAGTGCTTTAAGCCCATGTTCTTGACAGACTGGCTACTAGTTGATCGGTCACGTTCTTTAGTAATTTCCATCTCAATTTTGGCTTTGATTTTCTCCCAGTCTATTTGGAGCTACAACAGAAGAGAAATGAGAGTCATGCTTATATCCTATGTTTTATTTAATCCAAAGTAACCAAGAGTTAACAAAATAGAACATATGACTTCCAAAATGGAAAGAGGGGAGGTATTATTGAGAAGTTATTGGGAAGTAATGCTGAAAATCCATGAGCTCCCTTTAAGATTAAGAGAGCAATTCCAGAGCACAAGGAAGACTTGTATTGTGATGGGGAAGAGCAAAATTCTGTGCAGCTATTTACAGAGTGCATGGACACAGTCCACAGGGCCTCAGGGTTCTGCACAAGAGCTTAGGAACAACGTCAAGCAGCTGCCCTGCTCGGCTCCCAGCAAAAGCAAACTGGGCAGGGCAGCAACTAGGCTGTGTTTGCATCAGCTCTGGTCTGGATATCACATAAGGTGAGTTTCCCAGGAGGAGCCCAGCTACAAGGAAAGACAAGGGAATGATGTTTCACAAATGGCTCCATTGCAACTACTCTTAAAGTGACAGAAGGATGTGGTAGTCACCAACTGATGAAAGCCATCAGAAGAAGCAGAGGACAGTCAAGAATGGGACACATGAGAGTAAGAAAAGATTTGAATCTGTTTTATTTTCTTTTATCTGTGATGAGGGCAAGTCTACCCTAGCCACCTACGCCTAACTATCCCTTTCTAGGCTCCTTAGTCTTAATGCTGGGAAAGGACTCCTCTGTCCCTAACTTCTACAAGCAATTTATTTAGAAATATTTATTCCTTTAGGAATCTATTGTTAAACAAATCTGGAGATCACTTATTTAGGAATGTGTGTCCTCTGAGGCAATCAGGTCCTAGACTAAGCTTAAATTATGAAATGGACACAGAGCTCTAAGACTTGGTCAGAAATGAAGAGGCTTTTAACTCCACATAGGTGAAAACAGCATGAAACCTGAACAAAGCAGTTCCTGCTGCCTGAACAGATTCATCTGAAGAAACTTCATCTTAATGGAACTGCATACTACACTGTACTAGTAGTTGATTGAATAATTTGGTTCTTTCTTATTTCATATGCTATGTCTAAATTTCCAATAAGCAATTTGTTGATATTTTGATGACCTTAAAAATAATTGTACATATTTATCTATAATAAATAAGATAGGCTGATTAATAATTAATAGAATTTCTTTTAGCCTAGAAGGTAACTGTCTGTACTAAGAATCAAATGACAGCAGAGCAAAGTTATTGAAAGACTGATTTTTCAATCAGGCCACAACTTGATATTTTTAAATGACAATGCATGTGTTTCCATGTCTAACAAAACATTTATAAAAAAGGAAGACAAACTTCGCTGACTGCCTTGGCCTTCTTCCAGCCTTGACTAACATTTGTTTCTCTAGTGAGACACAATACAACGATAGCCGCACACCTGTTACAGCGCTGCAGCAGCAGTCAGTCTTGTCAACTGAGCTGATGGCATTATTAGTTACTTGTTGAAATGTAAATGCAATGTGTCGATGGATGGTCTCCTGCAGAAGTTGACTGTATCATCTTGGCTGGCATTTATCCGGTTTTAGGACTGTGTCCTACAGATAATTTAGTTCTAGATAGGAATATTTTTAACAGTATGTTTTGGATAAAGGTGCTTGTTCTCAGACAGTTTCAAGTGACTTCTACATCAAAAGCCTTACTTTCTACTGTAGGAAGTGCAAATTATTTGGAACTTATTTTGACCCCTCATCAATTCTAAGTCATATAAAAGCATTTAAAAATCCATAGCTAATGGCTCTATCCAGCACCCAGCTTGCCTACTCTTAGTAAAGATTGGCTGCTTAGCAGAGAATAAAATGGCAATCAGGCATGAATTCATATGTCTTCATCCTTGTAAGTTTATCTATACTTGGCATCACCCATCTGCTTTCCTTCTGCCTTAGGTCAACCTCTTCACATGGTCTCTGAAGCCTTTTCTCTTGACTCCTCTAGGACACTGCCTTCGGTAATCACATTCTTAAGTCCTTTTTGCTTCCTGCCTCTCTTAACTCTGTCCCTAAGAGCTCTTACCTTATTTTTCTCACTCAGGACTCTAGTTCTCTCCCCAGAACACTGTAATGGCTGTCCATCAGTTACCCTTCAGAAAGCTGTGTTTAATGTAGAGCCGGAGATCAGGCCCAGTACTTCACACATGCTAGGCAAGGGCTCTGTCACTGAACTATATCCTTGGGCCTGGAAACATCAATGAAACCACTATCCATTGTTTTCAGTTCTTACCCTATATGCCTTCTCTATTCAACAAGTATTTAACACTTGTTTATGTTAAGTTCAGGGTTCGATAGTGGGTAAAAACATTTACCCCCACCACTGACACCTCTCCTAACACAATGCACCCTACCTCTCTTGTAGTTTGTGTTCCTTTCAAATGCCCTCCCCCAGCCACCTTAGATAATGTCAGAAAGTGCAATTTTTCCTCACCTGTCCTAAATTCACGGTGCTATAGACAAAGGACAGATAAACAAGAGAAACAAGCCAGTTTATCAGTGTGTGTAGTAACATGGCTCAGGGGAAAGGTGACTCAAAGCAGTGGCTTTAAACTCTGGCTAACAGCATTGTCACAAATAAGAGACTGAAAAGAAATGACAGGACAAAAAGAATAGCAGTTTTTAGATTCCAGAGATAAGAAGCCAAGGAAAGGTAACAAAATGAGAACAAACCAATGGAGTGAGGACTGGAGATTGCTCTTTCTGGCACTGTCTCTGAGCTGACTATATGCTGTCTCCAGGGGGATGGAGAGGTGGCTCAGCAGTTAATAGAGTTTTCTGCACTGGCAAGGATTGGAGTTCAGTTCCCAGCACCCACATCTCGTGCTTACAGTCACCCACAACTGCAGCTCCAGGGGTTCCAATGCCCTCTTCTGGGCTCCACAAGCACTTGTACAAACACACACACACACACACACACACACACACACACACACACACACACACAAATAATAATAATATTATTAAATATTTTCAGTAAAGCAGAATTTCTATCCCGTGTTCTGGTATAAAGTGGGCAAAGAACAGAGCTCTTTCCATTGGCGACTTCTCATGCTGTTAATGATACATACTTACACAGTTCTAGTTCTGAAGTAGTATATATGGCTATAATTTCGGCAAAATAGATAAATGTGGATGATAGATTATGACTAGTCTATAAACCAAGTGATACCAGGCATTCAGCAAATAGATGTCTGCCATGTAAGCTATTTTCCTAGGGGGAACCTTAATATCAATACTCAGAAATTTTTAAGTAACATTTTTTTTCTTTTAAAATGACTGTTTTGTGATTTTGTCGTTTTTGTTAACTTTCAAATGGCATCTATGAGGAAGAAAAGCACAAGACTAGAACACCAAAGGGAATCAAAGTGAGCTGTGGCATAGTTTAAGGAAAAAAATACAGAGTAAACCCTGTTGCTCTGGCTGAGGTATCACTTACAACTGAGGTATTACTGAACAAGAAAAAGAAGATAATTTTTTCTATTTAAAATGTAATTTCGAGCTGGAGTGGCACCTGATACTCTTGAAGAAGATGTACGTTTGATTCCTAGTACCCATGTAGGGCCACTCACAACTGCCTGTAATGCCAGCTTGGGATCTGATGCCCTCTCCTGTCCTCTGCGGGCATAGCACTCATGACCACAAACTCATACAGATACACACAGACACATAATTTAAAACAAAAATATTTTACAAACAAACTAAAATGTCACTGAAGGAAGGGCTGTATTTTGTATTTGTGTTTTCTCAAATGGGGAAAACAAATTTAAGAGCTAACTTTCTTCCTAGATATTCACACTATTTATCTAAAATTATCAAATAACAAATAACACACAACCTCAAGACAAATTATCATTAAAAAACTGATGTGAAGTCTTTTTTTAGGTTTTTTTTTTTTTAAAAGGGTAAAAATCTAGAAAAAAAAAAACTACCAGGATTGATGACTCGTGCCCGTAAACCAAGCCTTAAGGATGTTGAGGCAGGAGAGGACCTCCAAGTTAGATGCCATCTCAAACTAGATAGTGAGATCCTAGCTTGCTTAGACTACAGAGTAAGGCCCTGTTAACAAAGAAACAAAGAGATCTCTGCGGGTCCACTTGGAGTTCCTGCAGGCAAGATCCTTGACCCACAAATCCGGGCCCCTGCCAAAGAACGAGGTCTCAGCTGGAGAGCGCCAGTTTCCAGTGAGATCCCACTACCCTGCAAAACCTTCTCAAGTTCCAGCCCAGCCCTCGTCCTCTTCTGCCGGCTATTGGCCAGAGGTGAGTCTGGGCCCAATTGGGGCTGCCTGTCCCCTTCAACCTCTTTCCCCCCTCCCCCGCCTGAACTCCCTGGATTGGCCCCTGATCCTGCTGCTCCTGTCTCCGGTCCCCTTTGAGAGCACCCTTGGAGCTCTGATACACCCCCCACCCATCCCAACCTCCAGCCTACCCCCCCCCCACCCTGTGCCCTACCCCACCTAAGGTCCTGCCGCTCTGGTTGAGCACTGGGACAGAGGGTGGAGCCAACAGTCCACCCTACTTCAGAGACCTCTCGGAGCAACTCCGAACAAAGGAGACCTGACTATCCACGTGGGACCACCTGTAATTTCCACCTGATTGGTCCCTGACCCCGCCTCCAGTCCTCTGCTGGAGTCCCAGGCCCCTCCCAGAGATCCGCCTATCTCTGCGGGTCCACTTGGAGTTCCTGCAGGCAAGATCCTTGACCCACAAATCCCGGCCCCCGCCAAAGAAGGGGGGGCCCGGGGGGGAGCGCCCCGTTTCCGGGGGAGCCCCCCTCACCCTGAAAAACTTTTTCGTGCCCCCCCCCCCCCCGCCCCTGGTGGGGGGGGTTGGGGGGGGGGGGGGGGCCTCGGGGGGGGGGGGACAAAAAGAGAAAAAGATAATTTTTTTTTTTTACATAAAAGGGTGTGTGGGGGGGGAGAGTGAGGGGGGGGAGGGGCAAACAATAACGGGAGGGGGGGGGGGGGGGGGGAAGGGGGGGGGGGCAAGAGAACACCTAACAACAGAA